AAGAAAATTTACATACTAATGCGAAAAAAATCGGTTTCGTAAGCTCAAATAAGTTTGACATAATCCATAATCTCGAACATATTCAATTTACATTGAAAACACTAGCATTCACTCTAAATTTTAGATTAAATTTTGTAAAGTAAAATATATTTAAATATATGAGAGATATACCAGTTGATTTTTTGTTGTCTCTAATTTTTCTCGTAGTGAGAAGTTATGATCTTTTATTTTCAGATTATTCTAATTCCGCGGAACAAAGATCTAGTAATCATGAAATCACAAGAGGAGGGAAGGGTAGAGTGGTCATTTGAAGGAGAAAGATAACCTTTGGGATAAGCGAGAGACTAGGAAGATGCGTGCGGCGAATATGGATTCCTCCAAAAAAATACTTTTAAATTGTTAGTTAACCGTTGAGAATCTCCAAAGAATGCAATTGTCAAATTGTCAACGCTAATTAAAAATCCTATATAAGCCCTCTCGTGTAATCTCCAAACATCAATCAAATAAACTTGAATCATATCTCAAAAAGAAACTTAAACATTTAGATCAATGGGTGATCCTACTGGCGAGCCGGGAAGCTCCATGCATGGAGTCACCGGAAGAGAACAGAGCTTTGCTTTCTCGGTGGCTTCACCGATGGTCACGACCGACAAGACGGCCCACTTTGACCTGCCGGTGGACACAGAGCATAAGGCAACGAAATTCAAGCTCTTCTCATTTGCCAAACCTCACATGAGAACGTTCCATCTGTCGTGGATCTCCTTCTCCACATGTTTTGTCTCCACATTCGCAGCTGCACCACTTATCCCCATCATCCGAGAGAATCTCAACCTCACGAAACAGGACATCGGAAACGCCGGAGTTGCCTCGGTCTCGGGGAGTATCTTCTCTAGGCTGGTGATGGGAGCCGTGTGTGATCTTCTAGGTCCACGTTACGGTTGTGCCTTCCTTGTGATGCTTTCCGCACCAACGGTGTTCTCGATGAGCTTCGTGAATGGAGCCGCAGGGTTCATAACGGTGAGGTTCATGATTGGGTTTTGCCTGGCGACGTTTGTGTCTTGTCAGTACTGGATGAGCACTATGTTCAATAGTCAGATCATTGGTCTGGTGAACGGGACAGCCGCCGGATGGGGAAACATGGGCGGCGGCATAACGCAGTTGCTCATGCCGATTGTCTATGAAATCATAAGGCGTTGCGGTTCCACAGCGTTCACTGCCTGGAGGCTCGCCTTCTTTGTCCCCGGTTGGTTGCACATCATCATGGGAATCTTGGTTCTCACGTTAGGTCAAGATCTGCCTGATGGGAACAGAGCTGCCTTGGAGAAAAGGGGGGAAGTTGCCAAAGACAAATTCGGAAAGGTATCTATAGATATATGAATATGTCATTATTAATACCTAGCTAGATGGATCAAAGGTCTAACTCGTTTTTTCGTATAAATGGTGTAGATTATGTGGTATGCCGTTACAAACTACAGGACTTGGATCTTCGTTCTTCTCTATGGATACTCCATGGGAGTTGAGTTGAGCACTGATAATGTTATCGCCGAGTACTTCTTCGACAGGTTTGTTTTCTATCTCGATTGGAAATGGATGAAATGACTTTTAAATGACAAAAGAGTAAACATATATACATTGTGGTTTGTTCAGGTTTCACTTGAAGCTTCACACAGCCGGGATCATAGCAGCATGTTTCGGAATGGCCAATTTCTTCGCTCGTCCAGCAGGAGGCTGGGCATCTGACATTGCAGCCAAATACTTCGGAATGAGAGGAAGGTTGTGGGCGTTGTGGATCATTCAAACGGGCGGTGGTCTCTTCTGTGTGTGGCTCGGCCGCGCCAACACCCTCGTCACTGCTGTTGTAGCTATGGTCCTCTTCTCTTTAGGAGCACAAGCCGCTTGTGGAGCTACCTTTGCAATCGTCCCCTTCGTCTCCCGGCGAGCCCTAGGTATCATCTCGGGTCTCACCGGGGCTGGAGGGAACTTTGGCTCAGGGCTCACACAGCTCATCTTCTTCTCGACTTCACGTTTTACAACTGAAGAAGGGCTAACGTGGATGGGAGTGATGATCGTCGGTTGCACGTTGCCTGTGATGTTAATCCACTTTCCTCAGTGGGGAAGCATGTTCTTGCCTCCATCCAGTGATCCAGTCAAAGGTACGGAGGAGCACTATTATGGTTCCGAATGGACTGAGCAAGAGAAGGAGAAGAACATGCATCAAGGAAGTCTCCGGTTTGCCGAGAACGCCAAGTCTGAGGGTGGCCGCCGCGTCCGGTCTGCTGCTACGCCGCCTGAGAGCACACCCAACAATGTTTGATCATACCTATTGACGCCAAGAAAAATCAATGATTTCACTTATGTGAAATGGAAACAAATATTGGGAAAAAAATATGTCCCACAGTGAAAACAAATGCATATGTTATCAATGCAAGAGCGTTATTTAATATGTATATCTATCCTTCATTCACTATAAGAAACCTCTGTTTTGTTTTTGGGTTCAAGAAATCTTTTTCTAAATAATATCTATCTCTTGAGATAGTTGATTATTTTTGCATTTTTTTGTTGTTAAATAGTGATAAGATTGGAACTGCCAAACTTTATGCAATTCGTAAAGAATTACACCACATAGAAAAGATTTTATCAACATATTAGAGCACTCTTGACCAGTGCCCAAACAAAACCCTAGATCAAACCATAATTACCAAAAACATTCAACAAAGCTTTCTTTAATTTTTTGTCCCAAAAACAGGTCTTTTCTTTAAACATTCCGCACGCGACCACTTATAAGGTCTATTATATGGCAAATGGGGGAAAATTAAAGTATAATACTACTCTATAAGTTTTTTTTTTTAAAGAAAAAAAGAAAAATATGATACTCTCTATAAGTTGCAGTGCAGAAAAACGTCTACCAAAAAAATTTCCTAAAACGTAGTATGAAGATGTGATT